TTTTGATGTTGTCATCATTGGTTGCGCCTTGTTTGGTGTGTGAGGTGGGGGGGAGAATCTACAATCTCCCCCCCACCTTTTTTTTTTCGTTTTTTCTTCTAGTGCCGGTCGGATCGGATCTTGGGATCAAGTTTTGCTGTTGTTATCATTCGTTGTGCCTTGATTGATGTGTGAGGTGGGGGGGAGAATCTCCAATCTGCCCCCCACCTTTTTTTTTTTTTTCGTGTTTTTGTTTGAATGCTGGTTGGATCGGATCGTGGGATCAACTTTAAATTGCTGGATCGGATCGTGGTTGCGCCTTGATTGGTTGGAGGACGATTTCCCCCCACCCACACATGAGCGGCGGGGGTTTGGCGTTTCGGAAACTCCGGACCCCCTGAGCCCGACACGTTTGGCGGACCCCCTCGGTGCTGCGGCCCAGTGACGGGACGGGACAGACTCCCTTCCTCCCCCGCAGCACCAAGGGGGTCCAGCGTTCCGAGAACGTCGGACCCCCTTGGTGCTGCGGGGGAGGAAGGGGGTCCGGCGAACCCCATGTTGCCCGCAGCGCCCAAGGGGTCTGGCGTTCTCGGAACGCCTGACCTCCTCGGTGCTGCGGGACAGGAAGTGGGCCCGGCGAACCCCCTGTTGCCTGCTGCGCCCAGGGGGACCCCTCGGTGTGTGTGTGTGAGAGAGGGGGCGGGACAGACTCCCTTCGGTGCTGCGACATCAAGGGGGTCCGGCATTCCGATGACCCCCTGCCCCCCCGGGCGCTGCGGGATAGGGAGGGGGTCCGGCGAACCCCATGTTCCCCGCAACACCAAGGGGGTCCGACGTTCTGGAAACGTCGGACCCTCTCGGTGCTGCGGCCCACCGACGTGACGGGACGGACTCCCTTCCTCCCCCGCAGCACCAAGGGGGTCCGGCGTTCCGAGAACGCCGGACCTCCCTGGGCGTTGCGGGATATGGAGGGGGTCTGGCTAATCCCGTGTTCCCTGCAACACCAAGGGGGTCCAGAAACGTCGGACCCCCTTGGTGCTGCGGCCCAGCGACGGGACGGGACGGACTCCCTTCCTCGCCCGCGGCACCAAGGGGGTCCGGCGTTCCGAGAATGCCGGACCCCCCTGGGCGTCGCGGGATATGGAGGGGGTTCGACGAACCTCGTGTTCCCCGCAGCACCAAGGGGGTCCGGCGTTCCGAAAACGCCGGACCCCCTCGGTGCTGTGGCCCAGCGACGGGACGGGACGGACTCCCTTCCTCGCCCGCGGCATAGGGAGGGGGTCCGGCGAACCCCATGTTGCCCGCAACGCCCAGGGGGTCCGGCGTTATCGGAACGCCGGACCCCCTCGGTGCTGCGAGACAGGAAGGGGGTCCGGTGAACCCCATGTTGCCGGCTGCGCCCAGGGGGTCCGACGTTATCGGAACGCCATACCCCCTCGGTGCTTCGGCCCAGCGAGGGGGCGGGACGGACTCCCTTCCGTGCTGCAGCACCATGGGGGTCTGGCGTTCTCGGAACGTCAGAGCCCCTCGGCGCTGCGGGAAAGGGAGGGTGTCCGGCGAACTCCCTTGACGCTGCGGGAAAGGGAGGGGTCAGACGCGCACCCGCGTTTCGCCCTGTGTGCTGAGGGGGTCTGGCGTTCTGGGAACGCCGGACCCGCAGATACAATGGCCGTGGGGTCCGACATTCAGGGAACGCCAGACCTTCTACGCGAGGCGGTCTGCTTGGGGTCCAACAAACCCCCTGTCGCAAGAAAGGCTTCTTCATGTCGCTTAGTTTTGTTCTCTTGTTATCTTTTTCCTTTTTGGCTCCCTTCAAGAAAATCAGCTTCGGCCTCCAGTGCTGCCAGTCGTGCGTACGGGAGGTCTAAGCTCTACAACGACAAACCCTGGGCTCTTGATTGGGTCGGTGGCCTTCATACATCGGGTTGTGGAGCCGTTGTCTTCTTGAGCGACGACAACGGCAAGAGTTGGTACTCCTGCGGAGGGGTGGAGAAATTGGAAGCGGGGAGGATTAACTACGATGGCAGGAAGTTTAGGACCTTCTGCCTGACGTCTGTCTATGACAAAGAGGGGAAAAACTGGGTCAAGGAAAACAAGAAGGTGTCTCTTGACCTTCGGCTCTTCCAGGGATACGGGGTAAAGGCTTTCTCGATGAAAGCGTTTGACGTGCGCGGGAACGGAACGGAGTTCCAAATGCTGGATCCTGAAAAGTTCCTCCTTAAAACCAATGGCTACCGCGTGACTGGGTCCCTGCCCGTCGTCGACAGCGCTTTCATGCTCAGGAGGCCTTTGGTCCAGTTCAACAGCTCGGCGGACCAGCTGGCGACTGCCGTTATGCAATACAGGGAACAGTTCACGAGGCTGCCTGCTGCCCAACAAGTTGACTGTGTTTTCGTGCCGATTGACGCGGGCCCCAAACGGCGCCAGGATCAGTCGGCCAGAGTGGGTGCAAAGAGGAAGCAATTGGCGACTCCGTCGTCTTCGTCGGCTGCCGTTGTCCGGGCTCTTCCCGCTCCGGTTCCGCCCTCGGATCGGCAAGGTCGCGATGCAGCCGAATAGTCCAGCGAGGCCACAGACTATGACGACAGAGCTCTACGCCGCCTGACTAATCCCCAACATCGTCCCCGGGGAGATACAGGTGCCTTCGAGGACGACGAATGCGAGGGCCAAGAGGGGGAGGGCGGTGGTGAGGAGGGGGACGACGGTGACGACGGAGATGCTGACGGTGAGGACAATGGCATGGACAATGAGAGAGACATTGGTGGTGAGGGACTCGACGACACTCGCTCCTCCTAATGTGAGCGTCCGCGCGACGACAACAATTCGCGGGCGTGACATGGGGTTGACGCCTATGGCGACGCTGACGCGGATGGTGTTGGTGACCAGCCTGGGACCTCCCAAGGGGTGTCACAGTCGCATAACCAGGCGAGGGATGGAAGAGACAAAAATGCCTCACAGGGAAAGAGGAAGAGGGGAGAAGCGTCAACCTCTCCTGTGAGTCAAACGAAACAGGCGAGGGCTGACGCCATCAACGAGGCTCACAGAGCATTGACGGCATCCCAGGAAGCGCGGGGTATTAGGAAAGGTGGAGGGGGGGGGGCAAGTGGCAGTCGTGGCGGCGGTCGTGGTGGCGGTAGAAAAGGCTCGCAGAGGGCCTGGACACATGAGCTGCGGGACTCGGGGGATGAGAGCGAGGGGGTGGGGCCTCCCATGCCCGAAGATGTCGACGACCTCATTCAGCATGCCGCGCCCCTCGACACAACACGATGTTTCTTTCTCTAATACGGCGAGCAAGGCTTTGCCAGGCAAGACGTCCATGTTGTTAACGTCGACGTCACAAGAGTCAAACGCATTCCCTGTGGGCCTATCCTCTACAACCACCGCTCATTGTCTGAGAACATTGTGAGAGGCATCGAGAATGCCATAGAAAGCTCCATCACTGCTGAACCGGGGGCGTGGGATAGACCTAAGCTTGTTCTTGCGCCAGTTGACCCCAACGTCGTCGTCGACGGGCAGGGAAGGCGAATCATGCCGGACGAGTTCTTCCAAAGAGACTCTGCAGAGTTTGATTGGTACGCAGTCCGTGGTCAGCATACCATTGAGGCCATGAAACGAATGGTGGAAAAGGACTCCGCCGCGGTCAAAGTCTATGGCCTCCGCGCGTACTCAAAAGTGCGAGTCGTCTTTTTCGATGATCACCAAACACGAGGTTACTTCAATGTCTCCGCCTTTGACAACACACGGGAGAATCGCGCCATGATGTTATCATTCCAAGACGTTGTGCGTGATATGAGGCAATGGTGGATCGACAACGACAAAATCGAGGCCCCCAAAGCTAAGGTCAGCGAGAAGGATGCGGACGCCGTGACGCACCATAAAAAGTGGCAAAACTTCCTCAGGGCCTGCATGGGGAAGGCGTGCGACAAGGCGTTCATGAAACAGGCGCTGGACAATGTATACAGTAAAGATTGGAGTAATAAACTCCGAGGGTACATGAACCTCGCCACGTCCACCGTCACAGTTTGGCCACTGGTGGAGAGGTTCTTCTCGATGTTCGAGGAGGGTAAGCTGCCAATCGGCGATGGCAAGATCCCGCTTGACATGCCGGGGAGGATGGAGGGGCGCCTGCCCGGCCCGTACACTGACAAGAGCAAGGGACAAAGGTCGTTGTACCACTGCATATATGCAAGAGATGGTCCCAAAGGCTCCAGTGTGTCCTAGAAGGATTTATGTCCTTCATACTTCAAGAACTTCGTCGACATGACATGCCGTGAGCGAGAAGTCGCGCTACTCCTGCTCATGAAGGGGAAAGTGGTGGCAACAAATGTCAAAGTCGCGCTTCCGCGGGTGAACACAGAGTGTCTCCTCGACATTATGCGCGAAGAGAGATACATGATTCGTATGTTCAACTATGTCGTGTTCCGCGCCGAGGGAAGGGGTGATGAGGAGTGGAACGACGACTTCTTCATGTCGTACAAGGACCTCGAAGAGAGGTATGCACGGAGCGGGTTATGCGCAATTGAATGGGAGAAGGAATGAGAGAAGCTACATAGCAACAAAGTGAAGACGGTCCCTCAACGACTTGGAGGAGTGAAGGAGGCAAGGCAAGGTGCGGGCTTGGGGCCAACAGAAGTGATGTACAAGGAGGCTCCATTTCACTTCAAGGTGTTTATATACACCATGATCGATAAGGTCGATTTGCTTCGAGCAGAGGTGAAACGAATCACCTCCAGTGCACATCATCTTGTCCGGCACAAACTCGGCAGGCAAATGACATTACTTCCGGTATGCATGCGGACAAAGGAAGTATTGGCAGCGCTCGACGACATCATCACCTCCGCGAAGAAAATGACATGCAGAGCCGCCATCGTCGACATCTCGGCCACAAATTTCAGCAGTGCATGACCTCGTAGGACTTCGATGCGCTGTACAAAATGATGGAGAAGTGTTGTGGTCCGAATTGGGTCCTCTTCTTCTTTGCACCTCAGAAGGTGCAAAGCGATGTCTTGTGTTACTTGTTCCGCTGGGAGGACATCGAACTCATCCCTGGGTCCTGGAAACGCGTGGACAGGCCATCGAGTGACGTAACAAGGTACGACAACATCGCTACGACGAGTCGGGACTTGATGGCCATCGTGCTGCGCGCTGAAGGAGGGGATCTGAAAAAAATAACTATCACGCCCCGACTTCTCAATGATCTCACCGAAGTGCATGTTGTGGAGGATAAGTTCGGGAAGTGTCAGGGAAAACACGGTGGCGTCGAAGGCGATAAAAGTGTTGTATGTTCGGTTTAGGAGCGAAAACCCGGAAAGTTGCGAAAGTTGTGCAGTCCATTCGTCGGAGAGGCGGAAGGTGTCATTTTGCTGGGTAGGGCGCACGCGGGTCCTGTATGGGAGTTCTTGCTTGCAGGTAATAATGTCATTGCCAGCGACGAGTCGGCCAAGGACATTGCATACTTGACAAAGTTCATCGACATACTTGTCAAGGAGTAGAGATTCGAGTGTCGGCTCGGGAAGCCGCGTGCCACATACCGCACCAACAGGGATATGTACCACAAGTTGGGACCAAAGAGACTGAAGGTGTGGGAATACCTGTTCCACGATGCGCCGGAAGGACGTCTTGACGGGAGATATATATATAAGAAAGCCAAGGTGACAGAGGACCTCAAACATTATCACGGTGCTCTGACTGGCCCCTTCGAGACATTCGTTGCTCGATGCGAGATCTTGAAGTTTGATCTTCACAAAGATCAACTCACGTTCAAGGACTATGCAGACCTCGCTAAATCGGGTGAAGGCTTTAACCCCGTCGACAGTGAGGAAGACTCGGCAGACTCTGACCTCGACATTGGAAACGACACCAATGCAACCAGGTGGCGTGGGCAGTCCGCTGCCATGGAGCACGACGGCAAGGAATATGGACCGGATCGATCAGAGGGATGCTCGAACCCGCCACCCGCGAACAGTGTGGCCTCGATGGTGGACCGGATGGCGTGTACGCCTATGGAAGAATGAGAGGACGATGAGGTTGATATTCCTGCTCAGGCAACGAAGTTGGCGCCGGGCGATCCGATTCCTCATGACTTTTGTGCGGACCCAGACAATATGCGTTTCTTGGAGGACAAACACACCCGCACTGGGGAGGACAAGTGGGGCCATGATATCATTTCGCATGACGACATTTTCCAGCCATGCATCCAAGGCGGGGAGTGCAAGATGGCGGTGAAGTATGTGAAGGGTTGGAGACCCTTTACATAAGGAAAGAGAACCCCGGAGAGAGCGAAAACTCCATCACAACAAAGGTGATTTTATATCGCGTGCGGAAAGAGAACCCCGGGGAGAGCAAAAACTCCATCACAACAAAGGCGAAACAATTGTTCAATGCCTTGCGAGCCACTCAGCAGTTGGAGTACACACACAAGTTTTACGAGCTGCAACCGAGCCCCTCGCGCGGATCAATCGACTGGAAGGTCGACCGTACCGCTGCGGCCGAGAGCATGGAGGTGGACTCCCGAGAAGATGCCGCTCTTGTGTCCGAGGTGGCGGCAGGGATCACGAAGCTTAGGGTGAACAAAGGGAAGATGTCGGGACCACGTCCGCCTTGAAGCCTCCTTTGCCAGAGGTGGGGAACACGTCCGCAGGCAAAGAGCTCATCATAGCCATCTTTGTCGAAACGGGGGATACATCACAAGATGGACATGTGTCATTTGACAAGTCGTCAGATGCGGGCGCCACATACGGGAGTCTCCTCGTGACATGTGCAGCAATGGCAGGCAGATCAGAGATGGAGTCGGAGTCCGCTGTTGGGATGGACGTCACGGGAATGTCGTTGCATCCGCCCTCATGCACTAGCAAAGGTGATGCACACTGTACAACAACACCACAGGGAGGGGCTGCAGGGGATGACGGGGATGGGGGGAATGCAGAGGGGTCTCAACATTCTCGCAATCTTGAGGACATGACCACGGACGATGAGGATGGGGCAGAAGGTGGAAAGGGCGTGATCGATCCCACACATGTAGAAAATGAGGGGTGAGACAGGGAATGAACTCGAGGGGAATTCTCTTCGCGGGGAAAGTTAATGTTTTTATTTGTTTCCTTATTTGTTTTAAATCTTGGTTTGTGGGTGAAATTTATTCCTGTATACAATTGGGTGGTTGACTGATTTGTTTTCAATCTAAATTTTTGGGATTTGGTCATTTCATTGTTGCCAATTAAATTGTGCGGTGAACAGGAGTGTGTACCTCGAATTTCAAATGATTTTTGCGCTTAAAATCACCATGAAAATGACAGTTTCAATTTCGTTCAAAAAATATAAAATGTCCGTTTTGACGAAATTGTTGTTCTTGGATAAGGCTGAACGGCCCTCTAGAAGCAAGGACATTCAGTCGAGGAGTCAAAAAACAAAGTGTTCGATAAAGGCAATTTGTGGTAGATAAGCTTCGCTGATATGGACCCGAAAGCTCCTCCCACCGGAGGAGGAAGGGGTATCCCTCCCCACCCCAACCCACCAGGGAATAGTGATGACCCAGACCGGATTCGAGCCCTGTTAGATTTGTGCTATTATGACGACGGACTGTTTCCAGAGACTAATATCAACCTTGGGGAAACAAAAATTGTTGACGGAATAGGAGTGCTTACTTTGAGCGAAGAAGTCAATAACGCTACAGTAAATTGGCTGAAAGCCTGGACAGTAATTGTAATTTTCGATGAACCTTCGACTACGTTCACGGTAGCGCGATGGGAACAACTAATTCGGGTTTACAAAGACGCTTGGTACCAAGACTCTCAGGTCAACCCTACGCAGAAGAGAGGCCGCACGCATGGGGAGGGCCCACATGTTATGTCTTATGTTGCAAGGTCAGCAAGGATAGCGTAGTGGCTTGTCTCCAAAGGCAATGATAGGATCCCCTCCCAAAACGGCCCTGTGAAAGTTTTGTTCAAGCCCTGGATGACAAAACAAGAGCTGGACGACATGAGAGACAAAGAAGCGGCAGGGAGATTTAAAATTATTGCCCTAAGAGTCCCTCTGGAAGCCCTACCGGGCCTACGTTTTGCTATTGAGCACCTTATGGGCAGAATCCTGACCATGCACCCTCCAGACAGGAAGGCAGAAGAGCCTCGTTTAGGGAATATAAAAATTGACTGTGTCCCAGAGGTTCGTCAGACGTTCGTGGAATGGGTAGTGGACCTAGTGGTTAAAAAACCAATAGGTGGGCACCTAGAGGTTCAATTCGCTAATCAGGACACCCCCTTCTGTAGCAAATGCCTGTGGTGGTTTCATAACGAAGTCGATCCAGAATGTCCAAGATTTCAAGAACCAATGCCAAAAGGAAGAAGGCGTAGAGGAGGAGGAGGCAGAGGTGGCAAAGGCAGAGGACGCGGGGGGACAGGGGCGGCTCGAGGAGATGGCAATGCAGGAGGGAACAACAATGATGGGGGGAGAGGACAAGCAAGAAACGAGGGCAATGGAGGATCGAGACCGCCAGGTCTACAGCAACAGAGAGGAGGAGCTCAAGGTAACACATCGCAGGCGAATGGACAACGAGTCCTGCCCCAGGGCACGCTGGCAGCAACAACACCCGGTCTGGCGAACGGAGGAGATCGGGGCACATTGGTACCTTACTCGCACACGACGCTCACTCCGCTAGGCACAATTGGAAGCATGGGAGTTGGCCATCCAACTCAGGCTAGGGCGGGACCTGCGTATCTGTCAATCGGAAGCCTGTGGGGTGGCGCTGTAAGACATAGTAACGAAAGAAGTCAGCAGGTAAATGGGGGAGTGGGTTGGGACTCAGGAGTACCCTACCCGCCAGTTGCAACCCTGGGCGGACCATGTGATGACAACTCACCATCAAGGAGGAATTATCCGAAGTGGCTCCCTGTTGCCCGCACCCTCACCTCCATCGATGGCTGCTCGACAAGCGCAAGCGGCAGGGGCTTCTTGGGGCCAAATACAGAGACCAGCATGGGGAACACCAACGGGTCCCGTGCCGGAACCAATGCAATGGCTACAGCATGAACAACAAGATCCGTTGGGCCGGCCTCTCTCACTGGAAGATACGAATACACAAGGCGAGACAAGCGCCCCAGGCTAGGTCTCGGCCCCATTGAGGCAAGACCAACAACCACAGGCGGATCAGATGCCAGATCCAGACCGCCGCTCCTTTGTTACACTTCATATCAACTCGGAGTTCAAGGTAGAGAATCGGGCGGAGGAATGTATGGCCTTTGCTCTCATCAAGAGGCCAATAGAGAACGCAGAACAGGGAAACAGACGGGAGTCGCTTACGCTTGGACAAGGGAACGGAACGGCGGGACCAAGCGAGCTCCACAGGGACCAGGTCATGCGGGATCTCGACAGTAGATCCACTCATCTAGTTCCGATAAAGATGAGAAGAAATGGAGAAGAAGGAGGAGCAGAACCTACAAGGGAGCAAGAGGATGGAGAAGGGGAAGTGAAATTTTTCTTCATCGGTTCCCCCCAAGGACAAGGAGAACGAGGGAGAAATCAAGGAGGGAGGCAGAGGGGTAAGCAACCGGCTACATCTTCACACTCGGGCGGGACTCATCAAGTAGTACCCATTTGCACTTCTCTAGCACCCCAAGGAGTAAAAATTCTGGCAGGACGTCTAACGACAAGCGAATTTTTCCTACCCACAGTGGTAGTGGAAAGCTTTTCAAGCACGAAAGGAACAATTAAAAACCCAACAGCCAAGTTTGTAGCTGGAAGATTCCCTTTTCGACTAATGCCAGGACTCCGCATCGGAAGGAAAACATTGGACCTAGGAGACGACCCACCTTTGCACTTCCACCTAGCAATGGTTGATGTGAAGATTTCAGCGGAAACTGCTACAAGCCTGAACACACAAGCGGTTCGCTGGATTCCCCCACAATGGCTGGATGCAAAACTGTCACAAGAAGCTGCCAAAGTGCACCTACTAGAGGTGGTGAATGCAGAGCTGGTAGCAGTCTACTGCACTTCGTTACCTGGAGACAAATAACCATGGTCAGTGTCATTTAGAAACCTGTTGTGTGCTTCCTGGGAGGCACATCAGGAGGGAAAATGCGTAGCTTCAGGCCGAAGAAGGAAAGAGAGCAGCAGAGCCCAAGCTACTCCAAAAAAACAGCGGATCCAACCAACAGCCGCTTCCCAGCCCAGTTCCAATAGATAAAGTGGCCATGGTCACCTGGAACGTACGGGGCCTGGTGGACCAGTTCGGAAGACGGAAGAAAGCGCGTCTTAAGACTTGGATACTCCAAAAGAGGGTCCAAGTGGCCTTTTTGCAAGAAACCAAGCTGGATGAGGAGAGGATCGCCCAGACATCCCGTTGGTGGCGGGGCCCGCAATGCTGGCCCCCTGCTGAGGGGACGAAGGGAGGAACCGCAATCCTGATACCCAGCGAGTTAAAAGTAAAAATATTGAACCAGCAAGCGGATGTCTGGGGCATTGGTGCTGGATTCAAATCAGGTGGGATTCGTGGAAAGAGCAAGAGTTGGCAGAACGAAGATCATTCTTCCACGACCCTTATGTTGATCTATGCCCCTGCAACGTTGGCAGGACGAATATCATTCTTCCACGACCTACCAAACATCATTCCAAATGTAGAGAACTTGATACTGGCAGGGGACTTCAACACGGTGTTGGAACCGGGGCTGGACTCTCTGTTCCCCAGACCTAAGAAGGGCGACGGAATCCTCTTGGAACAGATCATGCTAGCGTACAGTCTGCAGGATGCTTTCCGCCAGTTACATCCAGAGGCACAGGGTCTAACGTGGTTCTCCTCATAGAGGATGGAAGACCAGATCCCACCAAGACGGAGGCTGGACCTCATCTTAACGAAAGGAGAGGCATGGAAAGTCATCAGTGAGGTCCACACTGCAATGGAGCCACTCTCAGATCACAATCCGGTATGGCCAGTCTTCAGGCTGAGTGGCGACCTCCAAAGGGAACAAAGCTTCTTCAGATTCAATACAAAGAATCTGAAGAACCCCGAAGTGCTGGCCTCAGTGGACTGGTGCAAGCGACACTGGGAGGACTGGGAACAAACAAGGCCTTGGTTTGACAAAGAATAAGAGTGGATTCAGATAGGATTCCGCATAGTCACAAAAGCTCTGGACATCTTTTCCAGAATACTAGCCAGAGAGAGAAGGCATGAGGAAGAGGAATGCAGAAAGATGGTGGAGGAGGCGGAAGCGCAGATAGGGAAGGACCCTATGAATCCCCTGCGGTCGTGGTCGCCGCGGGCACGATCGCGGTCCGCGGTCATGGAAAAAAAAAAAAAAAAAAAAACAGAATTCAGAAAAATCTGAAAAAAGTATAACTGAACGACTTTTGCCTTGGTGTTATATCAAAATTCGTTACCAAATTTGAGATAAAAATCAAACAAAATCCTTTATTTTTCTTACTAAAAGAATATAGTGAAGAACTTTCGCCTGAGGCATTTCTGTTTTTTATTTTTTTGAAGATCGAAAACGAAGTCAAAAAATAAAACTAAAAATGTAAGGTTGTAGAGCGCAGAAAAACCTACAACCCCATAGTTTGTTTTTTTTTTTGGCCTATTATCCTAGGATTTAAAAATGTCGGGGTTTTCCGACCGCACTTGGCCGCGGGCGCCGCCTGCTGCGGTCGGGATGCCGACCTCGTGCGGTCAAATGGCCCGTGGTCACGACCGCGGGTGATACATAGGAAGGACCCATACACAAACATCTATTGGGAGAGGAGAAGGGACATGTGGATGACCAAGTGGGAGACCATTCAACTGTCACAATAAGAAGTGTGGGCACACGGGGCAAAGGAAAAGGGCATGGCACAATTGGACAAAATGACAAAAGAGACTTTTCGAAGATTGTGTCCGCCCAGATCACACGGGATAATTAGAGCATTAAAGCATCCTTTTAATGCGAATGCGGACGTGACGGAAGACACCACTACCATGGCTGAGTCCGCCACTCTCTACTACAAGGATATCCTTACATCCAGAAGACGGCCTCACGAGTCACTGACACAGATGAGAGATTCTGAAGAAGTGGACCTGTGGCAACACACAAACAAGACATTGGCCCCACGACATAGACTGTGGTGCATACCGTATAGGTGCAGACCAGAACAAGAACCGACCTTTCAATACAAAGTATAAGATAGCACAGCGGAAGACTTAGATACTAGTGATCCGAACAATCAATGTTGTAATGCAGCCCTGAACATACATCATCATCATCGTTTCATAGTGTGAATGGGTCTGGCGCTTCACACAGGAAGACAGCGCCAGCCCAAAACATGCACAGACGAGGAGGAAGGGGATAGACGAAGAGGAGGGGGAAGATGGGAATGCCGTCAACACCAAGTCTTCGGCACAAGCCCAAATAGTCCCTTGTCGAACTGTCTGAATCCCAAATGTCAAGTCTGGATCCAATGTCGTTAAGTCTCAAGTCACAACTCTGTCTCTCTCTGTCGTAGTCTGAGAAGTCAGGTGGCGAGAGGGTGAGAAGAGAAGGTGGACTTAGAAGAGGAAGAAGAAGAACTCTCTCTCTCTCTGTGTCCAGTACTAACCTGTGAAGTTGGTGCCTTGATGCAGGTACCACGAAGATTGAGCTGGAGCGATGGCGCCACAGGTAAGTAACACTGGCCTCCGCCAGTCTCTCTCCCACTCTACGATCTACTACCTACCAGCGCCCAGCGCTGAAGACTAAAGCTACAGCTATGGCGCCCAGCGCCGAAGACTACAGCTAGCGCTACCACTACTGCCTAGCGCTGAAGACTACTGCAGCACTCCTCCTGAGTGCTGCGGCCGAAACCTGAAGACTACCTCTGCCTACTGACTACCTACCTACCCGTGAAGTGCATGGGAACCTCCTATGTACTACGGGTGTGCCTCTTGAGCCTGCCGAAGGGAGGCAGGGGCTGCAGCTGCAGCTCCTGCTCGAGTACGTGAGGAGGAGGCTATTTTGGGCCTGTTCCTCATCCCTGTTTCCGTGCCTGAGTCTTAGGAGCAGGTCGAAACAATGAGGGCCTGAAAATGGCCCTCCGTTTCAGGCTGAAACTCTGGGTCTGAAAAGACCCAGAAATAGGCTGAAACGAGGTAGGGCCTGCAGGCCCTCGTTTTTCAGCATCCAGGCTGAAATGAACGGG